TGGTCTCTGCCATCTTACTACTGCTCTCTGCCTCCTGTTGGATGGGTATTCTCTCATCCAGCTCAGTATGCTACCAGTTACATTACTCATGTTTGTGTAGCAGTCTATTATGTAAACCAATGTCCATGGCCTTCTAGTAATCCAGGAAAATGCAGCCAAAACCATCCTTCTTTTGTGTGATCATTGACATCTTGTCGAATTCCAGTAGATTTGTCTTGGGAATTAATTCTATAGAACCTTACAGGGGTGTACATGTCTATGAAGCAGACCTGTAGTTTAGTGCCTCTTGCCTATGCCTCTTCATATATAATTATATTATAAGGCATCTTTTATCATTGTGGTAGCTCTCCTTCCCTCCAATGAAGCATTGTAGAATGTTAAATGATTTGCTCTGAGCTTCATTATTTAGTACCACACATTTCTTTGACATACTTTTGTTTGGTCCTTTTTTTTAGCTTGGTGTAGTAGTAGTAGTAGTAGTAGTTTCTTTAGCTTTGGAAGCTATATCTTTCATGTATTGTTTTTCCATGTCGGTCTTTGTTGACACACTTTCATACCCGTCTCTTGCAGTTGTTTTAAACTTTCCTGTTCTCTCCATTTACCTCTTTCAAGCTCTGCTTTTTTTTGCTTAAAGACACTTTCTGTTAAACTATTAACTGACATTGTGCATTATTCCTTTGTCTTGTGTGATGGAATGAATCTCTCTACAGTGTTTGAATGTTTCTGGACCACATAGTTTATCATGCCTTGCAACGACATCCTAGTGAGGTTTGCCTCCAACTGTGCTCCTTTCAAGAATTCCTTTATTTATATATATATTTATTCCCTGTGCGCTAGCCTTTAATCTTTGTCCTCTTACCTATGTATATATTGTTTTATACATGTACTCGAAGATCACCACAGTGCTTCGTCAATGGATCTATTAGATCTGTACTATTGGTAGAGTGCTGCACGTCCTAAACTTAAAGACTGGTTGGGGTCGGGTGTCTTGCTTCTTGCCAAAAACAGTAGTAGGACTTTCTGAAAACCAGGAAATCTGATTGTCAACACTAATAGAAAGGGTTTATTCACAATCTTAAGTTAGACAATATTCACGATAGGACTGTGTTTAGTAAGAAATAAAGTTAATGTACTTGACCTAATGCTGTATATGCAGAATCACCAACACAGGAAAGATGTGGCTGGACTGTGTGTATTCTACAAAGTTAAAAAAAAAATGCATACTCCCTTAATTAACTTCCAAACAAGAGGTACAATATGTAACAATCGGATAGATGTTACCTTTGCATAAACAAAGCGATTTAAATGTTTGTCACCAGACTTGATAATGGTCCAGGATGGACCGAATCACCATCGTTTCTTCATTTTCTGATATGTGATATCCGGTCATCATGCCTTTCTATCGATTTGTGGCCCTCTTGTTTCTTTCAGGTTTTTCCTGGCAGTTTCCTTGGATTTGTATTTTTCTCCGAGGGTCTTTGTTGGGTATGTTCCATCTCTACAAGGAGCTTCGCTCTTTGTTTCCTGGGTTGGGGTGCCATGGTGTTTTTTTATCATCTTTGACAGGTCCTGTCTCCTGTCACCTGGCTGTTGGCTAGGGTCAGATTAAGGCATGGACTTTAGGGGACTGCAGCCCAGGGGCCTCTGCCTGCATAACTGTAATTTACATATTATGGGTTTAAGCATTTTGCATAGTTTTATTTACATAATGATAACTAATGTGATGGGAGAGATAAGTTTCTCCAAGATGAAGCATCTAAAGAACGTACACAAATCAACAGTAGCACAAGAACGACTAAAAATATTTGCTACCATGGCAATTGAAAACGATTTTTTCAATAATTTACAATTTATTTATTTACCAATTTTGGAGAAATTTGTTTCAAAGAAATTGCACAAACAAATGTTTTAATTTAAATTAGGCTTGACTTTGTTTAAATATTTAACTTTTCTTTAACTTTCTTTTCTTTTTGAAAATATTATTGGGAACTCTCGGTACTTGTAGCCCAAGGGCCTTCAAAATCTTAATCTGGCCCCTGCTCTTGACTAGTTCTTTTTCTGATTTGTGCAGACCTGCTGTTTGAGCAGCATCAGCCACTGGCTGTGACCATGGTCTGTTGTGTTTGGCTGATGCCTGTTTGCCTTTTTGCCTGTATGGTGCTTATTTTTTCTTTCCCGTCTGATCACCTTTCATGGGGTTCTTTGTTTTTTTTATATTTTTCAATTCTCTGGGCTTGGGGCCCTCTTCTTACCCGTGCTCTGGTCTTCTGCCTACTTCTCCCACAGGTAAGCCCTTTTATATCTTTATCTGTTCTTTTAATTGTGTGTTCTTTTTCAGCAAAGCTGTCCTGTTCTCCAAGGCACCGTTGTGAGTAAGCTCAAACATCAGTAGCTACCATTTCCCGCCCTGTTGTTACCCCTCTTCCCCCATGGGGTTTTGGGGTTCCTTTCTGGCCCCTTGTGACGGGGTTTACATATGATTGTCACCATCGATCGGCAGCACATACCAGGTCCAGGTGCCAATTTTAAGGCTTGAGAACCTGGTCAAAAATCACTTTACTTGAAAAATGTTTTCTATGCAAATGGAGAAGTGTTACATATCACAGTGTTGTACCATTTTTATTCATAGGACTGTAGTCAAATATTACAACAAAAGGGTTAAGGACTCGGTTGTATTTTTTTTCTTGCAGTATGTATTATTCCAGTTGTTTCATATTAGATATTCTTGGTAGGGAAAGTATATAGTTTTTTGTAAATATTTTATCGTTCTTCAGATGCTCATTCTAATCATTATCTTGAGAATGCCTCATCACTATGACTTGAAACTTTATATATATTTAAGTTTAAACCATAAAGTTTGGCTCCTATAAAAGTTAAGTAATATAGCCCAATAGCAATTACTTGTACAGGTAATTTTCATCCATTTCCAAGTAATATTTTAAGTCTCATTAATTTTACACCATCACCACTTGCTTATGATAAAACTGAACTGAATTCAATGTTGCGCACTAATCCAATAGCAACTGCTGTTGTATTTTTCTTGATTCTGATATATACTGTATTATGATGTCTCATTTTATAACTTATCAGCTAAAACAGATATGCATGATTATTAAGCTGAACTTCCTATTAATATTTGGTAATGTAAATCTGAAATTAGATTCGTGAATCCGGGGACTTGTTTTTTATTTACTGAACATAACTTTTGTTTGAATATTTATGGTATTACTCATTACGGTATTTACTCAACCACTCATACTCACTCCCCGTCACCTCAACCACCCACACCCACTCCCCACCACCTCAGCTGCTCCCACACCCACTCCCCACCACCTCAGCTGCTCCCACACCCACTTCTCACCACCTCAGCTGCCCCCACACTCACTCCCCACCACCTCAACACCCACGTTTCCACCTTCAATATACCTACATCACCTGCCGTACAGTATATTCACTCGGTGCACGTTTCTGCACAGCCTCACCCACATGCAATGTCCCACAATAATATTATCTTCTAAACATTCCTTTCAAACAGGGAATCAAACTGACATATAGAAAAAGGCAAACAGTTTCATACTATAAGAATGAAAACAGGGAAGACCCACTAAACTATAGTCATGTATCATTGAGCAGCATGGTAGTAGAAGCACTAAAAAAAATGGACAGAGTATCTGCAAAGTAACAATATAATAATGGACAGATAGTTTAGATTTTGAATGGTAATGTCTTGAATCACAGAAATATTGCAAGAAATGGAAGGTTGAACTAATTGCATAAATCTGGACATTAAGAAAAAGATAGTTTGACATAGCCCCTCACAAGACACATTTCTGGAAGTCAATCATATTTGCAGGTGACAGGAACTTCTTGAGATTTGGGTTCATGTGGAACCCATATCTCAAGAAGTGCATAAACAAAATAGAAAGGGAGCAAAGATATGCTACTAAATGACTTCCAAAATTTAAGATGAGAGACTGGAGGCACTAAACATGTCAATACTAAAAGATGAGAAGTAATTAAGCAACATGATGACTACATACAATATAGTTCCCCATGGTGCAGTGGTAAGAACTCGCCAGACGCTTCGCGGGTGCTTTGGTCTGTTTTCGTGTCATGGCAGGGGAGGATTGACTGGGTGCCGATCCTTAACTGTAGCCTCGTTCACCCAGCAGTGAATGGGTACCTGGTTGTTAAATGATTTGGCAGGTCATATTCTGGGGAAAATTGCATTAAGGACCTGCCCAAAATGTTAGGCATTCTAGTGGCTTTACAAGAATGTAAGAACTCTTGTATATATAAATAAAATAAAAAAATAGTAAAAAGAATCGACAAAATAGCCAGGAAAGAATTTTTTTAACCTGCAACTACAAAAACAAGTGGTCAAGCTAAGGAAACAAATGTGGCAAAAATACAAGAAAATTCTCCTTTACAGAGTGGTAGTCAGGTGGAAGAAGTGTAGTGAGGTGGTGGTGGAGGATGCCAAAGCAGTCGGTAGTTTGTGTCATATGACAAGCGTACTGGGAAGACAGGACACCATATGCGTAGCTCTTATTTTGTAACTACACTTCGGTAATTGCAGTACTTGCTTTCCCCACTGTGCCCCCCCCCCCCTCACTCATAATACCCAGAATATCATCCACCCACACTCAGTCTCTCTTACTCTATATAGAAATAGTGTATAATATACTCTATATAGAAAGAGTTCTTGGATTTATTTTTTCTTCAAATATTGTAGATTTTTTATGTGGTGAGCTTGGCACAGGGGAATCAGTTGACACTCAATTGGCTGTCATCAGAAAATATCCAGTTATTCAATGAATTAGCTTTAAGTTTCTTCTCATTTTATGAGGTTCATCACTCTTTTTTTCAGGTTTGGAAAGTGGAATTACATAATCTTGTGCAGATAGTGCAGTATTAATATATTACATTTCATCTTCAAATGTTGTCAATATTTGTGTTAATATATCTGCTTTAGGTTTTTGTTATAATCTTTCCTTCAGATTGATGGTTCTACCCTGAAGACACTGTGCATGCAGCATGGGCCGCTGGTCAACTTCTACCTGTCTCTTAACCATGGCTTTGCTCTCGTCAACTACGGCTCTAGAGAGGAAGCTGCTAAGGTACTATATCTTAAAGTAATGCTTTGCTTTTGGTTAAATGATTATGGTGTATACACTGAATGCTTACACATTTGGCCCACACTAACTTGAACTTCTTGAGTAGTTTGGCCAAACTCACAATTGAGTTAGACCGTTTGTTGTTTTGGACCAAATTTGAATAATGGGGCTTGCTTGATGTTATAGTTAATTACTGACATGCAGTGGCATATTAAAAATTAAACAAATACATTAAATCGATGCATTATTGGCCAAATAAATTTACAAATTTATTATTAATCGACTTGGAGGCCAAGTCGAGGACCAGGGACACTTAAGTCCCAAAATCATCTCAAGATAACCCTCTTGTGCAGTAAAATAAAATTACTCTATCTGAAAGATTTGCTTTGCTTTGCAACATTATTTGATAACGCTTCATCAATATTTAATCGAGATGTGTATTAGCCGCAGCAATCAACCTAAAGGTGCACATGACCCAGGTTATGCTGTGATAGCTGAAGATGAGTGTTCAGACATTAATAGTTATGGGGAATGGTGAGGAGGATGACAAATAGGGGAAAGATGCTGTACTATGTGTACAAAATAGTGTCCTTGTGACAATTTTTTATAGCGATTAATTATGCTTCAACACTGAAAATCCAAATATTGAAAGTTCACATCGGTTCTTCAGACTTGGCAGAGAGAGTGATCTCATAATGAGATTATGAGAGATTAAATATATCTTCATTGGTGATGTTAACACCATTAATACTAATACCACTGGTACTTAAGCTGTTAATTGACACATCCCAGGACATGTTACTCAGCTATCCACACCACCCAGAACAATTCTTTTGCTCTTTTTTTATCCAAATTATAACATTTGTACAGTGAGGTGGGGTGATTTTATTTTTAAGAGTACACACACCTGTATTTATAATATACATTGATTAGTAGTTCTGGATACTTCAAATGATGAAATGTGATTAAAACTATTCCTTTTTCAGGTCATTTAAGCCATGTGGCAATACTGTGTAAAATATTCATACTTTTTTTTTTTTTTTACAGGCCCAAGGTAATCTCAATAATTGCCTGTTGAGCAATACCACAATCCTGGCTGAGTTTGCTTGTGACAGTGAAGTAAAGCAAGTAATGGGCCAACAAACCCACCAGAGCCAAGGTGCCCCACCCACTCCTGCCCCATCTAATGCCTCAAGCTGGGGAGGTTCTGGTCGTGGCTCTACCCCTACTTCCCAGTCGTCTTCAGGCTCCAAAGTAGACTCGTGGGGTAATGGTAATGGTTCTAATTTGTGGAGCACTGCCCCTACAGTTGGGTCCTCGCTGTGGGGTGGGGCCAGTCTGGGTGATGGGGATCAACATCGTGCCACACCTTCCTCACTCAAACCCTACCTGCCGGATGGCCTTCTCACCTCCGAGTCCATATAATAGGGGAGGTGGGAGGCAAGTGCCGTCACCCAGTATGCACCGTCACAGCAAAACCCTGCGTGCAGAAACCACAGTGGTAGTGTAGTTCCATAACCACATGCTACAGCCCTGCCACTACACAGGGTAAGCTCACAGTCTTACTCAAACACCTTTAAGTAATTATGCTGGTCCATACATGTGTATATCAATCCCATTTTATTGACACAATGCCTTAAAAGACTTAGCTCCAAGCACACACAAGAATAATCAATCATTTCAATGCTCTTATGGTTAAGGTGAAGACCATGGAGCTAAAATAGTTCATGTGCTGTGACTTAAATACAAAGTTACTTGTATTGACATGCTGATGTTGACCATTATTTTAGGAGAAACAAAGGTGCAAGCTAAACCGAAGCAAGAGATGATCTGCCTGCGCTTGTCATTTGCTTCAGTTACATAACTGGTCCTACTTTTAAATGCCAATATTATCTAAGTCTGTTCTTACCATGAATCAAGTCTTATTATATGATAACAAAAGAATATACCTACACACAGTTTTGCAGTGTTTTGATGTACATGTACCAAAAGATAAACAATTAAGTTATATTTAGTTTTAAGAGAGATTAAATGTAAGTTCTAGGTTAAAATATAATTAAGTTTATAGTTGAAGTTGCAGAATTGTTCAGTGATAGCACTCCTCTGTGTGATATTTCCTAAATGGATAATTATATATACTTTAAATGTGCTTACTTATGTATCTCAAGTTCCACCACAGACTCTAGTGCTTGTAAGATTTACATCCTCCACACAAGATCTGCTCATATGTACAATGGAGCTCTCCAGGACTCAGCAGATATTCCTCAGTCTAGTGATTAGGTAGGTACGGGGTGCAGTGAGGAGCCAAGCACCATTCCTCGGATCGTCCAGTAGTTCTGCTGTCGTCATCAAAGGCCTCATACTGGGCTCTGCTGTGCAATTGTCACCTGGCCTCTTGTAGGCCTCTGTTTCGTCATTATGCTAGCCATCCAACTATGTTCCGTTGTCATAAAGTTAGTCAATTTAATGGCTACATGGTGTTGACATCATCCAGATTTAAGTCAGCTATTTTGTTAGCACTCTGAAGTGATGTATTAATTAATTAAATGTGTCATCATACTGCTGGCCTCCAAGTCTACTGTGATGATGTAGTTGAGGCCTCCAGCCAATATGGCAGTGTGTTGTGGTTTCAGAGAACTCAGCAAGCATAGCCCACAGATCTGCTGCATTATCATCTGGTAGACCAAATGTTGTGGCCTCTGCCATAACATTGTCATGCAAGCCCTCAATTTTGCTACCCTCAGTCGTACTCATACACATCATTATTATATTATCATGATCATTATCATCCCTGTATTTTAAACCCATTCAACCTTTGGCTCATTGGTCTCCCTCTCCCCAGGGTGAACCTCCCCTGCTACTTCTGCTTGTTGGAAAACTAACACATTATCACTTTGTGATGCTGCTGTCACTTCGTTCAATAGGGGATGATGGAAAGCATGCTGTACATAATGTGTTTATGTAACTTCTGGCAAGTTTGATGTTGTGATATAATAAGTCACCAGTGGTCCAAAGGTTAGGTTTGGGTGTTAGATCCCAGGTTCTTGCTCCAGCAGCCGAGAGATTGGCAGCCGGGTTCATTGCCTCACACGACACTTGTTGAAAGACCAGTGGATCTGCTTAGTCACCTAAACACCACCCCTTGTGGTTCATACTTGTTGGTGTGAGCCGCTGTGAGCGTGGCTGCTAGCTGAGGTTGCATCATGGTACAAATCCTACAATATCTATCGAAATCAACTTAGCAACATCCAGCCAATCAGTGTTCTCTTGGAATAATAGACAACTAATCAAATTAGGAAAATGTAATACTTAGGCATACTCACATTTAAGCCGATTTGGGCTGATGTTGTAGGGTTGGTAGCCACGAGTGAGTCAGCAGCATACCAAGTGTCAGGTTGACAAACAATGGTGCTGCAAATAATCATGCTAAATGTGAGATTTAGTGATAGGTCCAGTCCACTCTTTCATAATGTTACTATTAATTCTCTTTGTCGCTCAGCTTTACTTACTATTTTTATCCCTACAAAAAATGCACAAAAAAAAAGATGATTGTTGTAATTTGTTTTATGAACTCAAGTCATGGTGTAGTATTTTTCCGTATTCAGTATTTTGTACAGTTTTGAAAAGGAGTATAAACAAAGTGCCACCATAATTATTATTTTTTTTTGAGGATGATATATTGTAAGTGACAGAGCTCTTATATGTCTGGATATTATCTTGACCTTTAGCTGTAGTGATACTTTGGAGCCATATCAATATTATAGCTTTCAGATTAATGATCTAAATACAATGAATAATCAAGCCAGTCTGCCAAAAATCTAGACTAAGCAAGGCAGTGAATCATCATAATTGAGACTAACTTCTCCATGTATAACAGCATGTTAAGTAGCTGTCAGACTTCCAGCTGTTCTGAGAATCAGCTTTGATGATTCCTTGCATTTTGGGGAACCACATGTTGTGTGGTCTCCCAAATATTTACTAGTTTTTAGTGGTATGTGTAGTAGGGGTTGGGTTATTATAGTATTAGGAAACTGTGTAAACTGTCAAGGTCAGGTACCAGGCCAGGTACAGCATTACTGGTACTTGTCAATTTTCTCCACCTTGGTTAGCATTAGTCCCTTTATAGCAGTAGACACATTTCTACTGCCACTGTCGGGTTTGACTGACTGGCAGTGGTGATGCTTGCTCCATGATTTATGCTTGTTAGCTTGGCCTGATGCCTGGGTGGTTTTATTCTCAGAGGAGCACTGTAATCTGGGCTCTAATTGATCCAACACCAGCATAGTTTAGTATAATTGTCAGGACTTTACACGAGACCACCAGAAGGTGCACGGCCTTGCCCTTGTCGGTACATGGCCTGTGTGCTTCTAGCTGTAATATAGCTATATCAGCTTGAACCTGACTTGTAAAACTTGTAGACGTCTGAGGTCGTGTATCAATGTGCAGCAATCTCAGAAATGGTGTTAGTGCAGCTGTAGTAATGGATGCCCTACTTAAAGGTGATCATGTGCTCCTCTGAAACTCAGCTGCCCTAAGAGTAATTCTTCCAAGATTATTTAGCCAGTTAAGATACTCGCCTTCTCTCCCTGTGTTAACTATGTACAAGAACCAAACTTTTAATTTTTTTGTGGTTATTATAAATGATTTACATATAGCACTGTATATAAACTGTGCTGCAAGTTGTACAAGCGTTAGATGCCACCACTGCACACACTCTTGCTGAGAGGGATCTCTGGGGTGTTTCATTATAGATCTAGGTTATGTATTCTGTGTCCCAAGGTTTACCTGAGGTTAATAGTCATCTCGCATTTGCTAAGTTGTAGCCGGCTGCTACACTTCTCTTCGCAGTTGTGATTTTTGCTAGGGTGATTGTTATTCTGCCTTTAAGAGGAACTAATTGTTAATGGTAGGTTTTATTTGATAAGAAATTGTTTAGTTTGTTTAAGATTAGGTTGCATAGTATTTTTAGGGTGATGAGGTCAGCTTATGGCATTTTCTCAGGAACCTTTGTGGCGCAGGGGACGGATAATCTGCTCAGCACTGGTGAACGGCCTGCTGTTCTATCTAGTGAACAGTCTGTTGTTATGCACTGCTTAGCAGTCTGATACTCTTCTTGGGGAACAGCTAGCTCCTTAAGGAACACTGGACTCCTTAGGTTAAGTAGCAGTCTGCTCCATGGGTTTCATTTATGTTTCTTGGGTTGTGGAATAGTTGGTTCCCTAGGTTAGTTTACAGGTTCTTCAGTTACAGAAACAACTTGTTTCTCAGCATGTTAAGTGAATTCTGCTTGTTACATATGTAAATTATTCTGAGACTGCAACAGACGGTCTCATAGATTTTAGATAGTACCTGTTTTGCTGAAAGGTAAATATTTTTATTATGCCAAAGGAAACATCAATTTGTTTGCTGAAGAAATAGTTTGTTTCTTAGCTGAAGGAAAGATCTGCTCGTTTGCTTAATGAGGAGTGTGCTTCTCAGTTGAAGGTAATAAACCACAGCTGGGTTTTAGGGCAATAATGTTCAACTGTGTTTTGAGTAGCAGTCTGTTATTTGAGAACCAATTGCATCTACTTGGTTCTAAAAAACAATCTGCTGCTCATTTCTTGGTAGTCCACGTGCTACAGTGCATTTCTCTCAAACTATGCAGGACTCCCATCTAGAGTTTTCCAGTCTGCCACTAGGGCGAAACTCGTTCATTGCATTCGACGAATGGTAGGTGTAAGGATCTTTGTAGTTGGAAACTCCGTCTCCTGCATTTATTCTCATTATTAGTGCAATATTTTATCAAAATACAAAGATCATAAAAATAATCTGATGCATAAAATTGATGCACATAAAAAACTCAAGGATGTCTTGTGGACAATCGTATGTGATGCATGATATTATATTCGTGCACATGAATGACCATATAAGTGATTGCATGATTTACATTCATGCTTTAGGGTGACAGTTAGTGATGCATGGTGTATTCATGCTTTAGATTGACTAGAGAAGAAGCGCAATGCCTTATTCATTCCTCTTCAGAAAAGAAGTGTAGTTGTGATGTTTAATGAAGTAACGCTGATCAACTACTAACTTATAACTACCGTCCTAGCCTGCGTCTTCAGTATCAAGAGCTCCACACAAGCCTTGTTTCACATCTCATGTGATAACTGGTCTTCATGATTGTTTTATTGGTATACAAAAGAACCTGTGACAAAGTAACTGCTGGGTGCAGGGAAGCAAGGCTTGTGTGGTTGATTATATGTGCACAAGCTGTGTTTGGTGCTACGTGTGATCCATGGACTGTTGATGGAGGACCAAAGCCTCAATAGTTGGCCACTGGCATCCTAGCTCGTGCGCTTGCCCGTCCTGCCTGCTGCCCCCACACTGTCACCCACCCACCCACACTGCACATGTCACACTTCTGCACCTATCTGCGTAAAGACACTCTGAGTGTAGGTGGCTGTGTTAGTATGACTGGGGTGACTTATGATCATTTTAGTTTTGCCTGTGATGTTTTACTATGTTTCCTGACTAATGACTGGTGATTTTCTTGTTTTATGGGTTAAATATAGTACTAATGACTAAAAGACTTGATGTACTCAATTTATTGTATGGATGAGTAGTAATTATATAAATATAATTATAAAATATATATGTATATATATATATATAAATATAATAAACTAGCACATAGTATATGGTAATGTGTATTGAAGTGTTAACAAATGAGTGTGGTTGTGGTGATGCTATGATAGTATGGGTGGGCAGCATCACTGGGGCAGGGAAGGTGCTGTGCTAGGAGTGCTACAGGGCCTCTTACCTATCCAGGGACTGTACTTATACTCGCCACTACTTCCCGTCAGTTGGAGATCTCAAGTCTGCATGTACCTTGCCCATGCCTCTGCCCCTCTTTTCTCTCTCTCCCGTAATGTTCAACATTACTACCCCATTAACAGAACCACTTGCAGTACTAAATTTGTACCAGATACTGGTGAAAGAAGTATATCCCTGGTTAGGTTTCAGGCTCGACACATCTTCCTTGCTTAGGGGCCTCACACGACTTCCTCCCTTAGAAAATAGTCAATAATCCTGCTTGGCATCTATACAAAAAAAAAAAAAGAAAAAAAAGGAGAAAGCATTTAATAAAAGTAATAAAAAACAAATAAAAAAGGAAAATGTATGCCAGGTAGAGTGTATGGTGTGAGGTGCCTAAGGTTGTTATGGTTGTGAGTTGAATCCAAGTGTGATACTCCCCTCTCTGGTCAGACACAAGGGCTTCACTACCCTCAGCAAGTGCAACGTATATGTGCCTTGTGTTTGATTTATGGTGGCTTGCAATGACACCACCACCACTACCACCTGTGCTTGTGTGCCTTCTAAAAAGGGGGTCACACAGTCTGCACAACTTCGGACAATGTACAGTGTAGCATTTGAAAATAAGTTCGGAAAAGAGTAGCAACGCCAATGCAAATCCTCATATAAGTGACTGTACCACACCCTGCCTCAATTTATTAATGGAAAGTGCTAGCCAAGGAACTACGTGGACTTGCTATTAATAAGTGTGTAGAAAGCACCAATGATCTATATATTAGATTTTGCTGAAGGTTGTGGTATGTTGAGCAGTTAGCAGGCAGTGATACGAGGTATGTGGTTGTCCACATGGCCGGTCTCAGGGAGCAGTCAACCAGATGGCAGTAAGAAGAGCAGTGTTTGCATCAACTGCTAACTGGAGAGATTGAGTTGGCTAAAGGCCTACGGAGTACTTACTGGCATCACTACCACTGCTGCTACTGTTGTGTATCAAGTCAACTGTTTCTGCTCTTTTTCAAAAACTTAAGAGTTGCTACTGCTGTGTGAGAGGTTGTTGGCAGCAGGAACACTGTGGTGCCTATGTGGTGTCAGCCATCCCACACCTAAATGTGCTAAGTAATTCCTGTTGTAAAAGTGTCCTGATTCCAAAGATCCTTGGAGTTCCAGTTAAGGCTTTTGGGTGATAAAACTTGTATTATGATTTTTGTACCTGACTATGTACAAGTCAAGATATTCTTTTAATATTGCTATATAGATTAAAATATACACAGTTGATTCCATGAAGTGGTAATAACTGTAGTTTAAATGAACTTGACACGTGCAGTCAAAGAGTGACTTAACTTGCAGTCAACTACTCGGTTCTCTCCTCGTCAAAATAATAATAATAATAAAGCTGAGGAGTAGTTGATCTCAGTTTTGTTACCATCGTGTTGGAGAGTGAGAAGTGTGTAATATTAGTGGGTGTAATATATTTCGTGCTGGCGATGGGGGGGAGCTGGAGAGTGTGGCAGGGCTGAGCACATACCTTCACCCTCCCTAGACACTCAGCTCTACTCATTCAGCACTTAATAATGACTCCATTCTGCCTCTCACCTGGCTTCATTGTATGCTTATATTTTGGAGATTTGTCTGCAATCAATTTTATAATTGCAGTAATGTCACAATATTGTCACAATCCATATCCTAACTTTCTTAGAAAGTTCAAGTATAATTTGTTGCTTCCTGCAGCTGCATAACCCTGTCAAAAGTGAGGCAGCTAAAAGCTGGGTCACTATAAGAACTGTTGGAGCTTTGAAGGGTTAGCCAGTGAAGTCCAGACCATGGCTAGGCAGGGGTCACCTTCCAAAAATTCTACCCCCCTCCCCCCCACCACCACCACCCTGTAACCACCCACTTCTTTGTACTGCACCTCAAAGACAATTGTTGCAGCTTTGTCAACTTTGAAATGCATTTCAAACATGAGATTCCAAAGATACCTTGAAGGAAGTAATGGGTGCCATTTGTAGCAACTGATAGGTTTATGACTTCTTGGTTATGGTGCCAAATTAAACTAGTAATAACTGGATATGATCAATAGTAAATAATATTTCTCTTATAATAATTATAGCTTGAATGTAAGTTTTCTTAAGTTTAGCCTATCTGGTCATGTCTTGTAGAAAAATACACAAAACAATCTAGGCTGTGTTCCTTTGTCACCGATTCCAGTGTTGCTCTTAATCACCTAGATGTAATGAAGTGATGGTTGCGTTCTCATGGTTCTCGTTTTGGACATTTTGATTAGGAACAAGTATACTGATGAGGGCATAATAGTTGTATCTTACCGATACTACCATCAAGACATATCGCACACTCCGTGCACGTTCTCTTGAGTAATGTGTGTGCGGCGGTGAACCAAAGCATTTGTGTGTATTAGCATCACCCCGCAGCTGCAGTATGATGCTGCTGTTGTGGCATCCCGCTGCCATTATGCCCCAACTCCTACCCAAAGCTGCTCCAACCCTCCTCCTCCTCAGGGAGTACTAGGAGTGGCAATGGTGAGCCCTCAACTGTAACCCCCCTTGAGTGTGTGGTGATAATTGAGGGCTCCTGGGGTGATTGGTGGCAACCTGCCATAGCTCCACCTGAGGCTAGACAGGCAAGTCTTTCCATGTAACTTAAATGGTATTATCACATCAGCACCGGTAACGAGTCAGAATTTTGTATTAGATGAGTGATGTACGTTTTATACATATATTTTTAGATGTGCAAGGCAACGGTCGTTGGTGCAGGACTTAGCGTAATATTGACTGATGCTAGGCCCTGTATGGTTGTTGCTGCCAGTATTTTTTCCTCAAGTAATATGAGATTGAATCACTGGTATATTATTGGCGAATTGCTCATACATGTAGAATGTGTTCAAGTCTGGTCTAAGCTCTTTTACAACAGGGAATTATCTTAGTGTCCTTGTGAGGTTTTGTTGAAGTAGTAGGTGTAAGTTGATTATGGCCAGGATGTGGTCTAGGGTAGCACCGGTGGTCCGAATGTCGAGGCTTTCACTTTAAATGTAAAAGAGCTTAATAGTGTCTCTCTATGCTGTGTAGTGGTGGCATCTAATACGTGACTAAGCTAAGGTAACTTACAGATATTAAAGTCTACAAAAAGTTATAAAAATGTACTTGCTATTGTGAAAGGGATGGTTTGTTGCCTGCTCAGGGTTACCACACTCAACTTGTGACATTCATGTGATGTGTGAGGTGGCAGGCAGCACTAGTTGGAAACACAGTTGGACTTTTCTTTCTCCCTCACCCCACCCACATGCTGGGGCAGAGGATGTGTTTTAGCCTCCTTGTCCAGTGAGCTTGTCTAGTCCTGAGGGTCCTGTGCCAAGCCTTCTTGACAGGCTGCTGTGGATGCATTGCTTGGCTCCAGGTCCTCACCTTCAGGAGGTGCCACACTCCTACTGCCCCATTTTAATTTTCCCACAATTCCACAGTATTTTTCACTGTATTGCAAAACACACTTACACATTTTTGGAACCCACATGGCATATTTCATGTCCATCCCCTAAAGAGCAGCCACAGCTGTTGCAGCAATGTCAGGTGCTCCCCCTGTGCCTCTCTTGTGTGTTCAGTGGCCCCGGTCCCTGCCCATATGCAAGCCTCAGTCTCCACCACGACATCCGGGGCCTCCACCTCCATGTGACATGACATGCCGCAACTGCTGCAAGGGCTGCCCATGAATCCCATCCTTGTTGTAGCCAAGTGGGTTCTGTCCTTTTCCTTGCATAAATCTTCACACACTACAATCATTTAACTTCCAACATGTACTGCTTGCCATTGCCTTCACACTCCCAATGTAGCAATGAAGCCAGGAGCAATAAGGGGAGTTGTCGTGTCCGCCGTCTTCTCAGCCCTGTATTTTCTGGTAGTCAGCCGCAGTCCACAGGCTGAGGTGGTTGATAGAGCGGCATGTGTGATCCTGGTGGCCATGAATGGTCAGTTGGCCAGGAGCTGGGAGGGCGGTGCTTGCGGCATGCCCCACGTATCCATGTGTTGGTGTTGTGTTGCCATGTTAGCAGGCGGCCGCCAGGTTTTACCGTGCTCACTCTGCCGCGCCGGCGGTTGCCCAGCAGACTTTACTTCCAAACTTTTATGCCTGGCTAAGGACCAGCATTAAGGGTTGGTCAAGGCTGCATTGTGGGTGGCCTGGCACGGCTGGCCTGTCCTCCCTATTGTACCACTGCACATTCCCACGAGCTAGTCAGGACGGGGCACCACACAACACTGCCACCTGTGCCAGGTAGGTGGTGGCCCACCACCATTGTCCTACTGACATTGAACTGGTTCTGTGTGGGAGGCGCCAACCTGCCCTTGGCACCTCTTGATAACCATGCCACATGATGCATATCCTAGCTGGTCAGTGTGCTTGGACAGGTCAGCAATGCTTTTAATATAATTATTTATACAGGCTTTCTTGTACTGGATGTTCCAATATGCATAAATAAATTTGGTCTCAGTGTTTACACCTATACTTTATTTTCATTATCCTTATGCTCGGGTTTTAATATATGCAGTGCTCTTAATATTTTTCTTTTCAGAAATGCTTGGTAGTGTATAGTCAAAATTATATATTTTAGGATGTGTAATTCTGCACATCTGGCAAACTTTTTCTTATAATAAAGTGTAGAGAATTTGTTTTGTTTATTTATCAGCAAATTTCCATTCCTGTGCGGAGTAATTAAGTGTAATTACCTAAATGTAGTTACAGGATGAGAGCTACACTTGTGGTGTCCCAGCTTCCCAGGACTCTCATATAACACTTGCTTTGAAACTACAGATGGTTTTGGCCTCCACCACCTCACTTGTTCATAGTGTTTTCCACTATTTACAAAAGTGAACTTTTAAATGTTTTTTGGCAGCTTTGTTTCTTTAGTTTGAACCTATGTCCTCTTGTTCTTGACATTGCAATTTTCAAAAATTATTCCTAGTCAATTTTTGTAGATTCTTACTATTTTTTATGTAGTGATCATATCACCTTATTTTCTTCTATCTTCTAACTATGGTGGCATCCTTAGTGACATTCAGTGCCTTTTGAATATCCTGCAACTTTGATGGTGCTTCATGGTCTCCCGGCTTGGTGCCTTCTTTTGAAAATTACTTCTAACTTTGGTATACTTACTACTTCTAACCTTTCCTCATAGCTCTAGTTTTTCAGTTCTGGATGCCATTTAGTTGCATGTCTCTACACCTTTTCTAGTTTAATGATGTGCATCTTGAGATTAGGGCATTATATAACCATTGCATATTCCAGTTTTGGTCTCAAAAGGGTCATGAATAATTTCTTTAATATTTCACCATCGATACATTTCAATTCTTTAAAGCTTTTTTTTCCTATGTAGGTTGTGTGGACTATTCTCACCTCCACATTCCATAACGTGGCATTTCTTCACATTAAATTTCATTTGTCAAGTGTTGCTCCATATTTTGGCTGTCTTCAAGGGTATGACACGTGTGAAACAGATGCACCAAACTTAATAAGCAAACTTGTCTTGTGGTGCATATTTCGCCTCCATAGTGTTATCTTGTCGTGGTGCGGGGGCTCTCGCTCACACCTCCCTGGGATCCTTGAGGGATGCCTTTACCCCCTTTCCGGCCCGTCTTTGGGAGTTGTTCGTGCATACGAGCACAAACGTAGGGGCCTTGTGAGTCACCAGAACACCCACTGGAGGGGTTGCCCATGAGGAGCTGCCCTAAGTGGATAGTTGAGTGTGTAGGCTGGGGCGAAAAGGAAAATGGGGTCTTTGCACCAGTGTGGGAGAATGGACGAAGCAGTAGGACTCTCCTGTTAAAAAGGGGGAGCACCACTTTGGACGACGCACCCCTTCCTGCACTAGCCTACGCTCGGCTGCCCTGGTAGGTGGTATCCCATGGCTCCAGGCCCCAGACTTTTAGAATTGATGATATAAAAACTGAACCGACATCGCTTGCTTATTCAGGCTCGTGGTGTGGGCAACCAGGCCCCCAAGTCAGACTGTGATGAAAGACCGGGCTCTGTAGCCCCCGCTACATTGGGCCCAGACCAAGCTAATCCTTTGACCTTCCTAACTACTACCTCCTCTGTGGTAGAGTCGAGCTCCAATCCCTCTGTACCCCCCCCCCCCCCAGATGCTCTCGCGCGATTCCTTCCCGTGCTAATGCGTTCCACTCCTTGTTTGGGCCTGCTACATGGACTAAATACTTTGATCTCAACCACCTGGATTCTACGCTTCCTGACGATTTCTTCCTCTATAAACACCTCGTTGATTTGGTAGATGCCTCTTGTTACTTTTAACCTCACCGTTTTGGTACACGTATCGTTGCTGCTGCTGCTCAGGATGCAGCTACCCACTTAGCGGCATTGTCCACCATTGGGGAGACCCCTGTTAGGGTCTCCAAAAATGCCCGGTTAAATGCCAGTATTGGCACTGTTATCCTCCCGCACCATGTTGCTACTGGTGTTAGGGACCTGAAAGACTGCCACGAGGATATTAAACATATCCTTGAAGCCCAACGCCATTTTGTCCTCCAGGCTGATACGTTCACTCGACCCCCTCATGGTCGTCGAGTTGTGAAGATCACTTTTGATAGCAGGACCCATCCGCCTTCTATAATTCTTGCTGGTGCCAGATGCTCCATTTAGGAGTACATTCCCTCTCCTAGACTTTGCAATACGTGCTGGAAATTTGGGCATGGTGCCCTCAAATGCACAATTGCGGTGTCTATGCCCAATGTTGGGGGGGGGGGACTGAATCACTCTGGATCAAGACGAAGTGCTCCTCCCAGGCTCACTGCCTTAAATATCGGTGACGACCATTCTACCTTCTCCCGCGCGTGTATACGCTACAAATTTGAGATGATTGATTGATGAAGATTAAGCCACCCAAAAGGTGGCACGGGCATGAATAGCCCGTAAGTGGTAGCCCTTTTGAGCCATTTCCAGTATCAAGAGCTGATACTGGAGATCTGTGGAGGTGCAACTGCACCCTGCGTGACGGGAGATGTCTCCCGTCACAAATTTGAGGAAGCCATCCTCAATTTGAAGCACCGCGATCGCTCGTCTTTTCCTGAGGGGAGGCGCCAAGTCCACCGTCTCATCTCTTTCGCTAGCGTATATGCTCGTGTGCTGCATTCCACCTATCCTCGCCCTTCCCTCCTTTCACAGTCTCTCAATTGTTTCCAGGCCTTAGACCCGGACACGGCCACCGCCTCCTCCCCCTGTTCCTTTACGTTCCGAACCAAGGGGTCTTCCTCCTGGTTATCCATCTGGTGTTTCCCGTCTTCCTTCCCAGTCTGCCATGTTTCCTATGTCTTCTGTCCCATCTCTCCCCGATTCTTCTGTCCAGCCCTTCCCCGTCTCTTGGCCCTCCACGCCGCCTCTCTGTCCAGGCTGTTTTCTATCATCCTCCCAGCAATATTCATGTTATTCGCTCCCGTTCTCCTTTTGTTGGGACACTAGAGACTGTCGCTCAGTACGTTGTTGCTGACACACCTATCTCTCTAAGTCAGAAACGTAAGCCTGGCTCTTCTTCCTCCTCCCCGGCAGATAAGAAGGTATGCTTTCTTCCCCACCCTCCACCTCCGACTTTATCACTGCATCCCCTCCCATTTCGGTAGTTGGGCTCCCTGTCCCAACTATAGCGGTTCCTTTAGTCCTCGATTCTCTCTCGGTTGCTGCCCTTGAGATGCGCTCCTGTGTTTCTGCCCCCCTCTCAACCTGCTTCCCTTGACCGCCTTCTCCATTGCCGCCACCTGTTCCGGACCCTGTCCGCCTGTCTCTGGTCCGTCCTTGACGGACCTTTTTATCCTTTTACCCTTCTATCCTTTTTAAATAAGCACAAATGAATTTGGCTTCAGGCCCAATAAAAGCACCAACGATGCTCTTATAAATATGCATGACCTAATACATGCAGCTCTCAACAAAAATGTTGGTTGACAAGGCTTTTGACAGTTGGCCACTCAACCTGTCTTCAGTCTGTTTATTCCTTCCAACGGTCGACCCCAAAAGAGGCATTCATATGCTGTTCATTCAAAATTGGTATTTTCTCATATAAATCAATATTATATATTAGGATATTTAGACATTGGTTAGGTAAGGTGTTTAGGTTTTTTTTTTTTTTTTGGCGATTATTTTTATTTTGTAGTACATGAGTGAAGCATTTACATTTGTGATGCCAACAAACAACCCGTCCTCTCACTAGGCTGTTTAAAGCTGATTTTTAGTCGTCTGGGTTGTCCTAGGTAATTCCCGTTTAGGTAACTGTCTGGGCCGTCCTCCTCAGACGCATTCGTCAATTTTAACGTACCGTGTATTAAAAATTGATTTGTTCTCAAAGATAAAATTATTATTATTATTATTATTATTATTATTATTATTATTATTATACATTAAAGTTCTATGTATAGTTAGGTGTTTAGGTTCTGTTGGAGGGGAGGGAATTATCAAGGGGAAAGCGCCAAGCCATTACGACTATATAGCACTGGGAAGGTCAGGATAAGGATTTGAGATAGGACCGGGGGGGGGGAGGAATGGTGGTCAACCACTTGGACGGTCGGGGATTGAACGTCGACCTGCATGAAGCGAGACCGTCCAGCCAAAGTGGTTGGTGGTTCTGTTGCAAGGGAACTACCAGTGGCATGCGCCAAGCCATTACGACTATATAGCACTTGGAAGGGGTCAGGATAAGGATTTGGGATGGGACGGGTATTTGTACTACAAATACAAATAATCTCCAATAGAGCCTAAAAACCTAACCTAAGCCTATATATATGCACAATATGCTAATATTATAATATTAATTTATATTTGGGAAATTCCCGTATTGAATGAACATGTTAAAATTTATGAATGCGTCTGTGGGGTCGATCGCTGGATGTAATGGACTCGAGTCGAGGATGGGCTGGATTTTCCTATATTTCCATGGTCTGAACTACACGCATACAGGAACAACATTGTCACAGAGCACATCATCCTTGTCATTTGTTAACATCATTCTTATAAGAAATGTAACTTTTTTTTTTTAATTTATATACATTTTTATTTATAGAGACCACACTAGCACCATTTAACTCAATGTAATTCTTGCTCGAGTCACCTTCCCGTAGTTAAAGTAATCGGAGGTTTCCCAATTTTCGGATCTTCAATATTTTTTCATACAATGTCTGTGCTGAATCTGGGAAATTCCCACAAATAGCTAAAATTATATGGGATAAATTCATAAGGTACTATTTAAATGTGTATCGTAATTAGCGATACTTGAATTTTAATATTTAATACTAGACTTGAAATATTAACTTGATACTAATCCAACATATGTCCTTAATACTGGAATTTATGAAGTATTAGTTTAAAACTAGATTTGCCTCTCAATACTGCGCACGCGCAGAAAGGCTGTTCAGATGTAAACTAACTTTAGGCTCGTCGAGACAGCTGGGGTAATAATTATGGTTAACCTATAGACACAATAAATAGCCTGTATATAGGCAAATTAATGCTGAATAATGCATAATACATGTGGATCTTGATAATGGTCACAAAGCATATTAAACGAGAAGTTTAGCAATTGTCAATCTCTTCAAATTAAATAATATACCATCAACTATCGTAACTCCCTACTCTTATGATAATCTTAAATATATTAAATAAATAAATATAGTAAAAGTGAATAGCTACTAGCAGTAAATACTGTAATTACGCTAGAGAAATGAATTACTGGTAGCCCCTGGAGGAGCCCATGCGGTCTCCAGCTGGGATTGAAAACAAGAAACGAGGTGGAGCCAGCTGACGGCGTGGAGGTAGGTTAAACCCACACTAATTTTGTCCAATATTCTTGCCACACCGACCATCTAAATCACCTATACCAATAAGACTGATCCTCTACACCCACTAAGACAGTTCCACTGGAGCAGTGATGGGTGTTACTCTACCCCAGGGTACATTGAGCCAAAAGAAGACGTCCGTTCTGGTCTACTCTTGCAAAATATCCAGCTAAGTAGGGAGGTTGTTTAGCTTGGTCAGTTAACTGTATCATCCTTAATTAGTCCTTGACAGAGAGAGAGCGGGTAATTTGTTGTTGTTTTACTTCTCATGAACAATTGTGTATGAACCGATAGCAACAGCAGTCTTAAGAGTGCTGGAATGGCTTTATTTAACATACACCAGCTGCATTGTAAGTTTAGATGATGTCTATCCGCAGTACATGTGAGTGAAGGTCTATAGTGAGCTGAGCCAGGTATAAGCACTCGTACACCTGCTTCAACTCACGCTAGGTCAGTTAGTTTAAAACCTTATTATAGCCACACTGAATTTGAGTCCCACTTTGGTGACGCCGGCAACACGGCAGCCGTACAGTAGTTTTAATTTTATCCTGCTTGTCCTTCGATTTCAACTAGAGGTCCAAGGACTCTTTTAACATACCTCTGTATCACTGAAGCCTTCAGATGCCCTGCTCATCGTCTCTTGGTCATCCAGGAGGGAGTTTGAGATGGTGATTGCTGTTGGGTAGGTGACTGGTCGGAGGAGGGAGAGAGCGAACATTATCCATTATCTTTTACATTAGTTTCTCCTCGTGTGCTAGTTACCTATTAGTGTGTTGTGGTCACCTGTCCTCTCTAATAGTATCGCCTAAATAGTACATCGCATATTGATGTAAATATAAATCTAAACCTAACAATACATCGCATACTGGTGTCACAATCCCCAACGGGCAAAACATGATGTACTACAAATCACAGCGGCTCGCAAAACTCACGTTTTCTATTCACGTGGGCCCTCGGTAAGGTTAGTTTGGGGTAATTTGGTACATATTGTTGTGACAACTCGAGAGGACAGACTGACAAGACTCCTCCCTCTGTGTCATCCTGGTAATGCAGCCACACTGGAAGCGGCGGGGCGGGATGGAGAGCCAGACTTTCACAGCTTCTTCTTGTTATAGATTCAGCTACTCGGAACACGTTCCAAGTAGCACGGGCTATGGTGAGCCCGTAGTGGACTTACCTGGCACAGGAGCGGGGCAAGTAGCACGGGCTATGGTGAGCCCGTAGTGGACTTACCTGGCACAGGAGCGGTGCTGTGCTTTCCTTTCACAGCTGCAGCACATTCTGTATATATTGCGGCCCATCCTCCTGATTAGGGGTGTGACAGTTACCTGGCACAGGAGCACGGCTGTAAGTCCACATTAATAAATGTTGTTCTGAGTAGCTAAATCTAAAGCAACAACAATCCTGCTTAGGTAGTACTTATAGTAACGATGAGGACCATCGTACATATATATTGACGTAAAAGGCAATTACATAGTAGAAATTGGTAATACTAAATTTGGACAACCCGGAAAAGTATTAAAAATACAACCCGTGTTGTATTTATGTAGCAAAGAAAACTTGAACTAACCTAACCTAATGCACGCTATCTGAGGCCTAATATACTACATATATGCTATAGGTGATAGTACTTGATCAATATTCCTAGGAATATCCATATAGGCCTAGGAATATTTTTTTTAGCTTAATTTTTTTTCGGACTGAAGTGAACAGTACCAAATTCTACTATCTAATTAGCTTTTACGTCAACATATGTACGATGGTGTGCATAGTTACGAAAAGTACCATCTAAACAGGAGGATGGGTTGTATATTGGCATCCCAGACTATAATTGGTAGCCAGTGATAGAGATGGTGTCGAGGCTCATTACTCTCTTAGATTCACTACAGTAAACCTGGCCACGTCAAGTAGCTTAGCGGCAAAGGGTAAAATAAATATATTCAAAACAATCTATTATTTAAATTCACACGTACATAGTCAAGCTTATATTAATATATATCAAGACTTGAGATGCGTCTTCCAAAACTTATATAGCGAATCTATAAGTTTTATAAGCCGTCAAGAAAATTCTTTCATTGTTAAAGTGCAAGCAGTGACTGAAGCCAACTACAGGCTCCTCACACAACCTGTCCTCATACTAGGCTTGTTAAAGTGACAAACGACCCCGAGGACGTATATTAATCAATTTTACCGAATTGTGCATTCAAAATAGTTTTCACCTTTAAATTAATATTATTATATGTTTACATTTTTTGTATAGTTATGCATAGATCAGGTGTTTAGGATCTGTTGGCGATAATTTGTATTTATGGTACGTGGGTGAAGCATTTACAGAGTTGCGATTCGAACAAAAGTCAACGAAGCACTGTTCGAGAAATGTTCGAACGTCATTGGTTGAATCGTGTAAACCTTTTTTCGTTCATAAACGGGGTTTGGCGGGTGCATGGATTCACGTTTGGCCTTTGTTTATGAGGACGGGCTGCATAACCCCAGAAAATTGATCTTTGGTCTGAGAAAGTGAACAAAATGGGAGACTGAACTGGATCATGATGGTTTCGAAACGGTTAATCGAGACAAAGTGAGTTTCATTGTTTCGGAACTGCTGATCAATACTTAATGTTTTTGCTCGGCTGTGGATACGCCCGCCTTCCTTTCATTTGTCTTTGTGCTATACTATCCTCCTGTGTTCAAATAGCATCTTTCTGAATGCTTCACCCACGCACTGCATGTACCAGCCCATCATACAAACAGGGGCGTTCGGTTGACAATGCATAAGTCAAGTACAGTATTTCGACCTATAGGCCACGTGACAATGTTCAAAGCTATGACTCGAAACATGCTTCCTTCACTTTAGGTTGTACTGACAACCTCTCCTAACTGGCCGTAACCAACACTCACCTTACTTAACCTTACACAGACTAAACTATGCATGAACCCACAATATATATAAATTTGAGGAAAAAAAAACGTTAATTACGCCATGTGAAAGATTCATGTAAGTTGGTTGCCTGGTTGTACAAGTCAAAACATGTTGGTGGTATTTAAGGGTGGGTTGAGGGAAGAAAGGTGGACCCCAAGAGTCTAACACTTATATGCTGTGCTTACTATATTAACCTGCAATGTTAAATGGGATTCTTGTACTGTGATTTGTGTATTTGTACTCGCTGAATTTGTGTTCCCCTTCAGGGACTTGAAGTAGAACGGGGTAGAAATAGCCTAAGCTACACTATCCCTTTGAGATTAATTTTTTTCTTGTCTCAATAAACATACTTGAACTTGAAGGGGTGAGTGAGGATGGATGGAATGGTGGGTCAAGTGAGGGAGGTGGGAGTGGAGTGAGAGGTGGGTGGGAGGAGAGTGCGGGTGGTACATGTATATAACGGGTAACATTATTAACAATTTACGGGCTATTCATGCCCGTGCCACCTCCTAGGTGGCTATTCATCAATGTATTAACACAGTATTCAAGTGCCAGGGCAGGGTCTCAGGAATATCCCCCCCCCCCTCCCCACACACACACACACACACACGGGTGCTCTCTCGTAGCTCGGGAGGAACACTGTGTAAAACAAAACCCATTAATTTTAACATCTGTAAAGAGAGAATTTTATATGTGAACGCCTTAAAAATGTTATTTTATTAAAGCATTCTGTTATCCAATGTTATCGGAGTTTTTAAAATTAATATCGGACGAATATAGTTACTATATATTTGTAGAGGTTTTATCGTGTTTAACAAACGATAAGATGCGCAATATAGTTGTGTAAAGAGACCAAACGTGTGAAGGTGTTACTGTTACCTCGGGTAGACACACACACCTGTCCGGTTAACAGCTCTTTATCGCATGTGATAACAAATGAAGCGAGGACTCTGATAACGAGATGCTCTACAGCTGGTGGATACACACACAACTGGTTACAATAATTAGACTGGCTCTGTCGTGATCGGAATTAAAATACAGGGGCGCTGTGTCCCTAAACTTAATGATAATGACGTTCATGCTCACTCAAGATATATATTGGAATAAGGTTCCTCTGGACAGATTACGGGCTCACCATAGCCCGTGGTACCTGGACACTTCGTTCTAAGTAGCTAAATCTAAAACAACAACAACTCTGGACAGTCTACATGAACATACAATGCTCACCATCACCTATTACTGGAGTTGAAGAAAGTTCAACACAGGGCAACAAAAATTATTCCAGAACTAAGTCAACTCCCATAACATGAACGGCTCAGGGCCACGGGGCTGACAACACTGTAATCCAGAGAAGTAGGGTAAAGTGCGACTAGAACCATGCGCACCACCTGAGCAGAGGTAGTAGGGTAAAGTGCGACTAGAACCGCTTGCACTACCTGAGCAGGTGAGCCAATTAGGCCCCCTCTGCTCAGGTGGTGCGCATGGTTCTAGTCGCACTTTACCCTACTACTAGGGCGGATTTCATCGAAACTTTAAAAAATACGGTACTGAACAAATTGGAGGATGTTGATCCGGATTTTTTTTCCCCAAAAGGTCCCGGAATTCAATCGAGAATGTCAGGTTCGAGTCCCGGGAGGTATGGAAATGATTGAGTGTATTTCCGATCACCTAATGCCCCGTAGCAGCAAGTAGGTGACAGCCTGTCAAACATACAACGTTGCTACAATATTCGAACAAGTTTTAAACACCTAACAAGATGTAACAACCAATATAACATGTAACGTTCTAATACGTCATAAAAACGTTTTAAGAAGATGTAACAACTTTATTACAAGTTGTAACAAGTGGAAAAATAGGGACAGTTTCGTTGTGTGTTTGTAGGGAAGTTAGTCAGCTTGTTATTGGACTGCATCCTGGGATGGTCTGTAATTCGATCTGGGGGGGAAGGGGTTAATGGGACCACAATATAAGCCTAATGTGTGTAAATACACTCTGGCCTGCACCCCAGCACAATTATTATGAATTAAAAACGTTCTTTGTAAGAGGACAGGTTGATTGGTCTTTTGCAGGTTGCTTATGAGTGAATTAAGGCATATGATTTTACTGCACTTTAAGTTATATAAATATCATATCTTATAACGTGATATGGAGGGGCTATCACTGGTCAGATACTAAATCTAATAATTAGATATCACAATTCACTTCCACAATAACAAATGAATATCTAAGTTAGGGCCAAGTCCGCCTTCGTTCCATTTTCTATAGTTCTAGCAAGGGATTCGATTTCATCTGCAACAGCATGTCCGTCGATGACACTGATGGCGCTCTCTCGACGGGACGAATTCAGCTGTTTCTGCTCGTTCTCTTTGTTCTTTTCGTTTTCCCTGTTCTTCTCCGTCTGAAAAAAAATTACATAAAATGCTCATTAACAGTTAAACATATCAGTTTTATACATTATTTCCAAATTACCATCCCACCCTTTCCACCCAAGATGATTTAAGATCCACCCATGAACTTGAAACAAAACGCGATGCTTTAAGCCAGATAGATGATATCATAAAGCGCACCCTTTCCTAAACTATTTACATTCATGGTTATCTTGAGATGAGATATCTTGAAATGATTTCGGGGCTTAGCGTCCCCGCGGCCCGGTTCTCAACCAGGCCTCCTTTTTGTTACACACCCCCAGGAAGCAGCCTGTAGCAGCTCCCTGGTTCACTATACCAGTCCACTGGACCTCGTATAAATAACTGGGCCTTCGCTCTTCAGCCGGCACCACTCCTGTGGCAGGTAAGTCCACTACGGGCTCACCATAGCCCGTGTTACTTGGAACTTGTTCCGAGTAGCTGAATCTATAACAACAACAACAACAAGCTCTCAGCCGATATTGTTTACTATACGTCCGTACACAACCAGCCCTTGCGGAGGAAGTCCGCTCACGGTAATGGATTTACAACGACTACGTAATTAGTGCTATTATAAGGTTACTTCAGGTTAAGGTTTGGTTAGGTTAGGTTTCATAACGTTTGGGTATGTTAATACTGTGTAATATTGGCCAAAATGTGAAATGTGGAATTCGAAAACTATAAGTGTATCCTTGAATTTCGTTTACAGAAAACCCAATTCTTTAGACCGTTTCAAAGAAAACGTTTTTAACGTACTTTTTATATTTTAAACCAACGATTTATAATACAATATATTGATAACTTGATGATAATCTCAGGACAAAGGTTCACTTGCCACTTTATAAGTAGATTATTACTGGAACCGTAATATGCTTTCAGACCATCACAAATATCAGGATAACTATCCAGTTGGTTGCTGAAGGTAATGGATACAAGAAAGGAGGAGTGAGACCCCGGGCATTGCCGGGTACCCTATCTAGCAATAATATAATAAATGATGAAATCCGTCTCTCCTGTGAATCCCATCCCGTGTTGGCCTCCGAACGCATCATGCAACTGAAGAGTTAGTAAAGGCATGAGCTCTTAAGGAGGGAGTTGGTTGCCACCTTGGGTTGCCCCTGAGCAGCCTGACGACAATAATATACCGAAAACAACGACACTTCACACTATACATACCAGCGATGATCGCATTGAAACCTTTAAAATACGGACTGTACAAATCCACAAGGGCCGTGACGAGGATTCGAACCTGCGTCCGGGAGCATCTCAGACACTGCCTTAATCGACTGAGCTACGACAGGGTTAAAAGGTAGATTAAGGCAGTGTCTGGGATGCTCCCGGACGCAGGTTCGAATCCTCGTCACGGCCCTTGTGGATTTGTTCATTTGATGCATCACGTTAGTGTGATCTCTGTGTGTGATACGGACTGTAATATTAATCCACACAACTTCTTTACACGGTCAAATGCAACACAAGGAGCAACAGCTTCTAGCTCAACACGCCGCAATATAGGACAGAAAACAGATGCCTTTTCACCCATAGTTATAAATTTATGGAACCGCCTACCCGCCGAAGTCGTAAATGCTGATAACTTTACTCCAGTTCAAAATCCAGCTGGATAAAATCACCAGGAAAATGGGAATAGTGGGAACTTTTGACAAGCCGTTAGTTTCCTGTCCCCGTCGAGGTCACTAAAGAGATGGTGGCCCTCGGGTAAATGAATTAAATTCAGGTCACTGTACAACAATGGTTTATTTTAAATGAGAATGAAAAAAAATGAGGTTCTGGCACTGGCCTACGCGCAGTCTAACTTACAGGCTGACATATATACACACTCGTAGACCCGTTCAATGTTTTGCAATAACCGTAGCTAGTTTGTAATGCTCTCCTTTTTTCATTTTAACGCTAAATAACACTGAAGCAAATTTCAGCTCGGAGCTCTGTTACGACATTCTGAGCAAATCTGACATGTGTGTGGCAACACCGACCTGCTGTTCCTGGGGGTGATGTTGCGGCCCCCCAGTGTTCCTGGGGGTGGTGTGGCGGCCTCCCAGTGTTCCTGGGGGTGGTGTGGCGGCCTCCCAGTGTTCCTGGGGTGGTGTGGCGGCCTCCCAGTGTTCCTGGGGTGGTGTGGCGGCCTCCCAGTGTTCCTGGGGGTGGTGTGGCGGCCTCCCAGTGTTCCTGGGGGTGGTGTGGCGGCCTCCCAGTGTTCCTGGGGGTGGTGTGGCGGCCTCCCAGTGTTCCTGGGGTGGTGTGGCGGCCTCCCAGTGTTCCTGGGGGTGGTGTGGCGGCCTCCCAGTGTTCCTGGGGTGGTGTGGCGGCCTCCCAGTGTTCCTGGGGTGGTGTGGCGGCCTCCCAGTGTTCCTGGGGGTGGTGTGGCGGCCTCCCAGTGTTCCTGGGGTGGTGTGGCGGCCTCCCAGTGTTCCTGGGGTGGTGTGGCGGCCTCCCAGTGTTCCTGGGGGTGGTGTGGCGGCCTCCCAGTGTTCCTGGGGTGGTGTGGCGGCCTCCCAGTGTTCCTGGGGTGGTGTGGCGGCCTCCCAGTGTTCCTGGGGTGGTGTGGCGGCCTCCCAGTGTTCCTGGGGGTGGTGTGGCGGCCTCCCAGTGTTCCTGGGGTGGTGTGGCGGCCTCCCAGTGTTCCTGGGGGTGGTGTGGCGGCCTCCCAGTGTTCCTGGGGTGGTGTGGCGGCCTCCCAGTGTTCCTGGGGGTGGTGTGGCGGCCTCCCAGTGTTCCTGGGGTGGTGTGGCGGCCTCCCAGTGTTCCTGGGGGTGTGGTGGACCGGGGTGTGGTGGGCCGGGATGTGGTGGGCCGGGATGTGGTGGGCCGGGGTGTGGTGGGCCGGGGTGTGGTGGACCGGGGTGTGGTGGACCGGGGTGTGGTGGACCAGGGTTGGGTGGACCGGGGTGTGGTGGACCAGGGTTGGGTGGACCGGGGTGTGGTGGACCGGGGTGTGGTGGACCGGGGTGTGGTGGACCGGGGTGTGGTGGACCGGGGTGTGGTGGACCAGGGTGTGGTGGACCGGGGTGGGGAAGGCACTCCACCACCTGCCACCCACTTTATAATGATCGTTATCACATGATAATGGCGATAATTATATCATTGTTAACACGAGGAGTGGAACAACAATGTCTACCAAAATAATAATTAACCCTTACCAACAACGACACTGATAACGCCTCCCCCCCCCCCCCATCCTGAGGGAAGCACAAGGTTATTAATATATTAACAGGCATTTAAATTTAACAGTAGTTATCTTTACCTGTTCAGATATGTAAGGGAGAAGTTTTTTAACATTTGAATATTGTCAAATTATAAATGTATCGAGATAACTAAACCGAACACTTGAGACTTCGTACATTTCTTAAGACAGTTTTCACCGCCGCAAGACTTAGAATTTGACACAAGAATACAGGAAGCGGCAGCAGGTATTTTAGTCGAGGCAGCTCCTGCTTGTCCTTAACCAACCTCACTCGTATACAGACAGCCCTTCGCTGGAGACACCCCGGCCACCTCACGCTGGAGACACCCCGGCCACCTCACGCTGGAGACACCCCGGCTACCTCACGCTGGTAACCCTTTCATGAAGCAACTTCACACATGCGTAATATAAATCACTAATAGGCTAATTACTTTTACCTGCTCTGAAACCTTCAAAACTTAAATTAATTTGTTTGAAAACTGCAGGGTACAGGAAGACCTGTAGGGTACAGGAAGACCTGGAGGGTACAGTAAGACCTGGAGGGTACAGGAAGACCTGGAGGGTACAGGAAGACCTGGAGGGTACAGGAAGACCTGGAGGGTACAGGAAGACCTGGAGGGTACAGGGAGACCTGTAGGGTACAGGAAGACCTGGAGGGTACAGGAAGACCTGGAGGGTACAGGAAGACCTGGAGGGTACAGGAAGACCTGGAGGGTACAGGAAGACCTGGAGGGTACAGGAAGTCCTGGAGGGTACAGCAAGAACTGCAGGGTACAGCAAGACCTGCAGGGTACAGCAAGACCTGCAGGGTACAGCAAGACCTGCAGGGTACAGCAAGACCTGCAGGGTACAGCAAGACCTGCAGGGTACAGCAAGACCTGCAGGGTACAGCAAGACCTGCAGGGTACAGGAAGACATGCAGGGTACAGGTAGAACCTACACAGTACAGGAAGACCTGCAGGGTACAGGAAGAACCTACACAGTACAGGAAGAACCTGCACAGTACAGGAAGACCTATATAGGTCTCCTAAATAGGTCTGCTATCCTATATCTCCTATCCTGTGCTATATAGTAGTGAAGGAGAGGATAACGGAGCCCCACCTTGTCTCTGAAGACAACACCATGTTTGTCACTCTCGGCAGGGCTGGGGGTGTCGACGGGGCTCCTGGCGTCGTCCAGTAAGGCACTCCTCTTCTTGTGATTCTCCCTGTATCGTCCACTCTTGGAGATGGACACCCTGCGTCGGTGCATGAGGTCGGTGGGGAGGGCACCCTCGGGGTCCTCCCTCGTGGGGTCCTTGGCAGGAGCGACTGTGATGGTGGCGGCGTGGGATCTCTTTCCTCCGTGCATGTGGTTGGTCTTGAAGTTGTTTATTATCTTCATCACGCCGGCCATGGCTCCTTGCACACACCCTCCTTCCTCAAAGTTTATTCCTTGAGCCTTTCAGATATACGTCCCAGCACGTATTGTTTTTTTTCAAAGCTCATTCATTCCCAAGTTGTTGTCTGCAGTCAACACAGCACAGTGGGAAGGGCTTTAACAACTAGGTCCCATTTGGTTATTTTGTTAATTCTGCGGTATGCACATAGGAGTTAATGCGGCAGTTATATAATCCACGGGACACCACCACAACAGTGACAACCGTTTTCCTTCCTGGTGAATCACGCAATGCTCTGCTCTGAAAGTCTACCTGATGCCTCGGTGGAGCCTCCTCCCTACTGGTGAACGGATAGTGACATCATGGCTTCGTCAGCCAATCACCACTCGTCTAAACAAAGGATGGCAGACCACAAGCCACCCACCATTAATTTTTTTTCCCCTACTTCAACCAATAGGAGCCGCACATTTCAGTGACGCTGCATAGATAATGGTAACCAATTACAGGTGCGGTCTCTTATCGAAGTAACCCAAAGTCGTGGTGTTTACATTTTCACCAACCTGACGCGGAGATAACACAAATCTCTCCCCATCACAGTGCTGAGACGAACATGTACAAATAACGCAATAAATCAAGCCTACAGATATTATGGTGTGGTGTAAGAGTCATTACCGATGTGTGAGATAAAATACTGGTGATTGTAAGGGAAGTTAACTGAGTGCTCGGGAACACACTAACCAAACACCCTGTTGCATCTTTTTAATTATACTTGGATCCACTGGTTCAAGGGATTCGAGGCGTTCAGAGTTAGTTGTCATAATTACAACACTACAGTTGTGTTGCAACACAGCACTAGTGAGTGTTGGTATATATGCAACACTAGTGAGTTGTCATATATGCTGTTGTTGTTGTTTCAGATTTAGCTACTCAGGACGAAGTGTCCATGTAGCACGGGCTATGGTGAGCCCGTAAAACATATATGCAATACGTGTTGGTATAATATTGGTACCACTGTTAATGTAGATGTAACCGAACGTCAATTTTGTCAGCAAAACTCTTCACACAACCGACATCTCTGTGTATAATTTAATGTGAAAAGATAAATATTATAGCTATCATAAATGATCAGTACAGTAATTCGAAATATTTCATCCAAATTTATATATTACGTAAAATTTCGACCAAATATACCGAATATTCGTACTGTAGACAGTGCATATACTAACCCGTGCTCAGACCAAGTCCATTCCATCCAGCGGTCGACCCCAAAGATGCATTCATCAATTTGAACTTTCTGTTCATTCAAAACACGAATTTTCTCAATTATTAATTAATATTATCATATTGTACATATTTAGGCACTGGTTAGGTTAGGTGTTTAGGTTCTGTTGGCGATTTTTTGTATTTGTAGTACGTGGGTGAAGCATTTATAGCGTTGTGGTTCGAACAAAAGTCCGCATTAAGCAGCTCGTCCTCCTAACAAAGACCCAAAAGTGATTCCATGCACCCGCCAACCACCTGTTTATAAATGAAAACCGGTTTACACACGACTCACAACTGCTGACGTTCGAACACTTCCGGAACAAGTGCTTCACTGACGATTTTATTTCGAACCACAACGCTGTAAATGCTTCATCCACGTACTACAAATACAAATAATCGCCAACAGAACCTGAACACCTACCCTATGCCTATATATGCACAATATGCTAATATAAAATAATAATAATTAATATTTGAGAAAATTCGAGTTTTGAATGAAAAGAAAGTTCAAATTGATGAATGCATCTTTAGGGTCAACCGCTGGCAACCCGTCCTCGACTCAAATCCATTACATCCAGCGGTCGCCCCCACAGACGCATTCATAAATTTTAATTAACTTGCTGTTCATTCAAAACAAGAATTTTCTCAAATATAAATTAATATTATAATATATTAGCATATTGTGCATATATAGGCATAGGTTAGGTTAGGTGTTTAGGTTCAGTTGGCGATTATTTGCATTTGTAGTACGTGGGTGAAGCATTTACAGCATTGTGGTTCGAACAAAACTCGTCAGTGAAGCACTTGTTCCGGAAGTGTTCGAACGAAATCAGTTGTGAGTCGTGTGTAAACCGTTTTTCATTCATGAATGGGGGGTTTGGCGGGTGGATGGAATGGACTTTGGCCTTTGTGTGTGAGACCGGACTGAACTGCCACTATGAGGCTCAGCAGCCCGTCCTCCAAACAAAGATCCAAAAGTGATTCCATGCACCCGCCAAACCCCTGTTTATGAATGAAAAGCGGTTTACACACGACTCACAACTGCTGACGTTCGAACATATCCGGAACAAGTGCTTCACTGACGAATTTTGTTCGAATCACAACGCTATAAATGCTTCATCCACGTACTACAAATATTAATAATCGCCAACAGAACCTAAACACCTGACCTAACCTATCCTATGCCTATATATACACAATATGCTAATATATTATAATATTAATTTATACTTGAGAAAATTCCCGTTTTGAATGAACAACATGTTAAAATTTATGAATGCGTCTGTGGGCTTGACCGCTGGATGTAATGGACTTGAGTCGAGGACGGGTTGGGCTCAGAGATTCTGATAGCCAAGGGGAATGAAATATTATCATCCACGTTTATTGTGGTCAGCATTAAAAAAAAATATTCATATATGCAACCACGATCACCAAACGTATGTATGTATGTATGTATATGTATGTGTGTATTAAAAAAAAATGTGAGTAACTAATTTTGCAAGATTGCTTAGCTACACGAACTCTGGGTTTCAGGAGCCAGATTCACGAAGCAGTTACGCAAGTACTTACGAACGTGTACATCTTTCCTCAATCTTTGACGGCTTTGGTTACATTTATTAAACAGTTTCAAGCATGAAAACTTGCCAATCAACTGTTGTTATAGTTATAAACAGCCTCCTGGTGCTTCGGAGCTCATTAACTGTTTAATAATTGTAAACAAAGCCGCCAAAGATTGAGAAAAGATGTACACGTTCGTAAGTACTTGCGTAACTGCTTCGTGAATCTGGCCCCAGTTCCTGAACCCATTATGTGCCTCTGTAACCCTTTCCATCACCACCACCGCCCACGGGATGGGTATGGGGTGCATAATGAAAGACTAAAACGTCAAAATGATGGCGGTTTAGTATGTAATAAACAGTTTACGAGCTTAAACCCCTGCGAGCCCGTTCTCGACTCAAGGTTATTATTGTTATAAACACCCTATAAACACCTGTTATAAACACCTGTTATAAACACCTGTTATAAACAGTATAGGGAGCCGGTCGGCCGAGCGGACAGCACGCGGAACTTGTGATCCTGTGGTCCTGGGTTCGATCCCAGGCGCCGGCGAGAAACAATGGGCAGAGTTTCTGTCACCCTATGCCCCTGTTACCTAGCAGTAAAATAGGTACCTGGGTGTTAGTCAGCTGTCACGGGCTGCTTCCTGGGGGTGGAGGCCTGGTCGAGGACCGGGCCGCGGGGACACTAAAAAGCCCCGAAATCATCTCAAGATAACCTCAAGATAACCCTCGGGGCGCTGCGGAAAGTGGACGAAAGTGCCTTGTTTCGTAAGTGGACGAAAGTGGCACGTTTCGTAAGTGGACGAAAGTGGCACGTTTCGTAAGTGGACGAAAGTGGCACGTTTCGTAAGTGGACGAAAGTGGCACGTTTCGTAAGTGGACGAAAGTGGCACGTTTCGTAAGTGGACGAAAGTGGCACGTTTCGTAAGTGGACGAAAGTGACACGTTTCGTAAGTGGACGATAGTGACACGTTTCGTAAGTGGACGAAAGTGACATGTTTCGTAAGTGGACAAGTTACGTATCTGATGAACTTTCACCTTGTACCTCTTGTGTCTTAATTAAATTATCTTGGCACTCTTAAAAATCTTTGTCGAATCAGTACTTTTAACTTGAGTGAGAGGGCGGTTTCTACAAATGTTCCCGCTGCGTGACTCTGATTGACCCCCCACCCCAACCCCCACGCCCCCCTCCCCCCGGTGCAAGATACCAGTCCCCCCCACCCCCCCGTGCAAGATCCCAGTACTTACATTTCTTCCACTCTTGTGGGTTTCCAGCTTGCACTTACGTTCTCCTGTCCTACTTTCTCTCAAATTTAAAAGAGGCTGTCCTTGTCCAGATTGTCTATATCCCTCAGTATTTTGTATATTGTGATCATATCCTCTCCTCTCATTTCTCCTATAGAGTTGTGTGATTTTGTTCCATTAATCTTGTTACAAATCTCTACAGTTTTATTTTGTTTTGTTCTTCACAAGGTACGGATTCCATGCCGGTGTTACTACGTGCATAGGTGATATACTAAACATAATAGATACCCTTAAAAAGATTCATAGAAAACACCGACCTTACCTAACCTTATTAGTATCTTAAGATAAGCATCTTATTGCTTCGTAATTACAATTATTACTTAACCTATACCTATTATAGGTTAGGTAATAATTGTAATTACGAAGCTATAAGATGCTTATCTTAACATACTAACAAGGTTAGGTAAGGTCGGTGTTTTCTATGAATCTTTTTAAGGGTATCTATTATGTTAAGTATGTCACCTATGCACATATTTAATAAGTCAATATTGACTTATTAAATTTGCGAGAACGGGTTGCGGTGTTGCGTATTCCAGTATCGATCTAACGTTGGCTGTGTTGTTTGCCCTCAACGCCGCCTCATTTATGGTTTTAAAAGGACGTTTGTGACTGTATTAACAAGAACTGTAACTAGTTTACCAACGCTCTAGCGAATATTGGCACTCGGTTGGTGAGGCCAACGTGTGCCTCTGTAATGACTCCTCCACCACTCACAGGATGGGCATGGGGTGTATAGTGGGCATGGGGTGTATAGTGGTCATGGGGTGTATAGTGGGCATGGGGGTGTATAGTGGGCATGGGGTGTATAGTGGGCATGGGGGTGTATAGTGGGCATGGGGTGTATAGTGGGCATGGGGGTGTATAGTGGGCATGGGGTGTATAGTGGGCATGGGGGTGTATAGTGGGCATGGGGTGTATAGTGGGCATGGGGGTGTATAGTGGGCATGGGGTGTATAGTAGGCATGGGGTGTATAGTAGGCATTGGTGTATAGTAGGCATGGGTGTATAGTGGGGATGAGTGTATAGTGGGGATGAGTGTATAGTGGGCATGGGGTGTATAGTAGGCATGGGTGTATAGTGGGCATGGGGTGTATAGTGGGCATGGGGTGTATAGTGGGCATGGGGTGTATAGTGGGCATGGGGTGTATAGTGGGCATGGGGTGTATAGTGGGCATGGGGTGT